GGGGGGGGGAACTTCGCGTTTCTTTCTTTTCACACTGGCCTTAAAGAGGATATATTAGAAGTTGAAGTAGGAAGGGAGCAAGCAGGCCGATGGCGCAAAGGGTACGTATGATTAAAAAAAAATGGATTTCAAATGTGAAATAATATTGAAACGTGGCTGACAGAGACGCTGCGAAAAAGTTTCTTTTCTTTTTTTTTTTTTTTTCCTCCTTTTTGGAACAGGGGCACAAAGCGGTGTCCTGCAGTGGGAGGATTTATCAGTTGTACTTGTAGGCTTAAAACCTGCGTATATTGCTATTTTCTTGATTCTTTTACTCCCCATCCCGGAGCTCTCAGGGAAGAGGCAAAGCTTTCTATACATTAATGACATGCAGGCATGTAAGTGAATATGTCCGAGCCTCTCTATTTGTTGGTTTTGTAGCTCTAGTCCTACCAATGTCTTTTTTAAAGTCATCAGTGCTTGAAATATTTGAATGTGTGCATGTCTCTGAGCATTTTGCTGTGTTAGTGATGATATACCGCTTCACTCTAGGAAGATAAGTTCTGGCTGGGAGTAAGCACAACTTTTTTTTTTCTTTTACCTCCTTTTTTTTTCTTCCCTTTTTTTTTTTTTTTAGTATATATTCTGTCACAAAAGGTGCAGTGTAATGGGCAACCCCCCCACTCTTCTAGAAAGAAAGTGACTTTAATTTGAATTGGAGGTTAACAGCATTCACTGCCATGTGTATTGTTGTTTCTATTTTGGGTGCGATCTCTTTTTTTTTTTTTTTTGTTTCTTCCAACTACCTCCTGAATTGAAGTTTTGAGGAGAAAAAAAATAAATCAGCCGGGGTCGGGTGAACAGGGATTTGGGAAAGGAGAAAAGTCCTGGAAAGAAGTTTTCTTGCCTAATTTGCCTGCCGCGGTCCGAGAGCTGGTTGGGAAAGAAAGTTCCTCTGCTGACAACTTGCCTTTTACTCTTTCGGTCCAAGCAAGTGTCAGGGATCTTTAAAAGTGTTTATTCACACCTTCGCTTTTAATAGATGAAAAGTGGCCGTTTCCCCCGCTGCCTGGGAACCGCGGTAGCTTTTGCTCCTTAATCTTTAACAAAGAAAACGCTTAAAAAAAAAAAAAAAAGGAAGGCATTCCCAAAATCCCGAGAGCCCGGGCGAACGTTTCCAGCTTTTCGGCTTTAAAAGTTGCATTCTCGTGGAATTGCTGGGAAATCCGCAAATCGCTAGTTCTGGGTCTTTTTTTTTTTTTTTTCCTTGTGTTTGTATGTGTGCCGCTGCTGAAGTTTTTTGCATCCTCGCTGGGTGTGAGGTACCTGACTTCTTATCAGCGGGGGAAAAAAAAAAAAAAAAAAAAGTTTAGCGGAGGGAAGATTTTGGACTCCGGGAAACCGCTTCCATTCGCAGGAGGGGGGTTGGGAGATTCGGGGGATGGGGTGGGGAGGGTTTGGGGGTTTTTTTGCACTTTTATTTATTTTATTGTTGTTATGATGATTATCATTTCTCCTGCGCCCCAGACTCGGAGGGTTTCGTGCCGGAGGAGCCCGGCCCGGGGCGGTGTTTCCCTCCCCAGGGCCGGCGCGGCGGATCCCGGGCGCGCTCCGGGGGGATCGCGGGGCGTCCCCGGGTGGTGGTGGGGGGGACACACAGGGCAGCGAAGCTGCTGCCGGGGGCACTGCCCACTCCCCACAGCCCTGACGCCTCTCTGCTCTCTCTCTCTCTGTTTCCCTCTCTCCCTCTTTCTCTCTGTGCCCCGCAGTACGACGAGCTGCCCCACTACGGCGGCATGGAGGGGGTGGGCATCCCCACCACCATGTACGGGGACCCCCACGGCGCCCGCCCCATGCAGCCCGTGCACCACCTCAACCACGGGCCGCCGCTCCACTCGCACCAGTACCCGCACGCCGCCCACGCCAACGCCATGCCCCCCGCCATGGGCGCCTCCGTCAACGACGCCCTCAAGAGAGATAAAGATGCCATCTACGGGTAGGTTTGGCCGCGCAGGGCTCCGCGCAACCTGCGCGGGATGGAGCGCGGGGGCGAGGAGGTGGGGGGGTGGGGGAAGATGGAGGGATGTGGGCAGCGCTGCGCGGCGAAGGGGCCGCGTTCTTAATTTCGTGTCGTTGTTATTGCCGGTTTAAAGGGTGGGGGAGAGAGGGCTGGGGGGGTCCCCCTGGTACGGGGAGCCCGGGAAAGTAGGGGGGGGGCAGCAGGCATCGCCGCGGGGAGGAGGAGGAGGAGGAGGAAAATAATATTCCCAGGGCACAACCTGCGCCGGGTCGGTCAATCTCTGCACGGAGTTTTGGGAGCAAGGGAGAGTTTGGAAGCGCTTTGCCCAACTTTCCACCTTGTTCGTCTTTCCTTGCGTTGTGAAGGAGAGAACTCGAGAGCTGCTTCTCTCAGCTTTTTTTTTTTTTAAATTTTTCTTTTAATTTTCATTTCTTTTGAACTTTTTATCCGACAGCATTGAATGTTTCTCAGTGTGGCAACTTGTAAAGCGGTTTCTAGGCCGTTGTGATGGGAGCTGATGGGGTTACACTGGGCGCAGATGCTTTTAAAATGTATCTGCCCAGCTGGAGTTTGAAGGGAAGTTTAGGAGCCTCTAAAAATCGCTCTCAAGACAGTGAGGAGAAGGAGGAGGAAAATAAAATTCATGGCGTTCGGTTACTTTATCGGGTTATCAGAAATCTGAAGGGTTGGTTAAAACTCGGCAGTGAACGGTACCCAGAAGAAAAAAAAAAAAAGTATGAAGCCCTGGGAGAAAAAAAAATGAACTCCCTGTTATAAATATACATATATACGTGTGTGTGCGCCCACGCTTATTTATTTATTTAAATTATTAAACGGGCGAGGGAACCAGATGCACACGCTGCCTTTCTCCCGGGAAGGCTTTCCAAGCTGGGATTGCCCAGGAGCACCTGGTTCCCCCCGCGGGTCGGCGGCTGCGGAGCCCCGGGGGGGCAGAGGGCCGGGCAGGCAGTAGGGGAGGCAGCCGGGCAGGCCAGCGCCTGCCAGTGGGTCAGAGCTGTGTTGAGTGGGTTTAGGGGCTTTTTCTTTTTTTTTTTTTTTTTTTTAATTTGGATGGGGATTGGGTTTTTTTCTGTTTTTCTCTTGGTTTGTTTTTTTTTTTTCTTTTCCTTTCCCTTTTTCCTCCCAGCAAGTCCTCCAGCAGAAAACAGGAATTAAAAGCATGAAAGGCAAGAAAGTGTACGTCCAGGGGATTTTAATTTTTTAAATTTTTTTTTTTTTTCCTAAAGACAAGGAAAGTTAATTCAAAATGGCTGCTGGAACCGGCTTGGGTTTTATTCTTGGCTTGTCCTAAGGTTGTATTAACAATATCTGCGGCCAGACAGCGCCGACAGGCCGGGGAGATGCCGGGCTGCCGGCCGGCCGGCTGCGGGAAGGGGCCGGGACGCTGCGGGAGGCGGCGGGGGGTGCCGGAGCCCCCTCTGTGGGTGCCCCCCTCCCCACTCACGCTGCTGCGGGACTAACTATTGTTGTGTTTGGCTTTTTTTTTTTGTTTCGTTATGATATTTTCCCCCCCTCTGTGTGTGTGACTATTGTATTTTCTTTCAGACACCCCCTGTTCCCTCTTTTAGCACTGATTTTTGAGAAATGTGAATTAGCTACATGCACACCCAGGGAGCCCGGGGTAGCGGGAGGCGATGTTTGCTCCTCTGAGTCTTTCAATGAAGACATAGCAGTGTTCGCCAAACAGGTCAGCAAAACCGGGTTGAAACAGTAAAAGAATAAAAAAAAAAAAAAAAAGGAAAAAGAGGGGAAAAAAATCCGTAACGAGAAAAACAAGTCTCTGTTGAGATAAAGATGCGCGTTTCCCCCTCCCCCCTCTCTTACTGCAAGAGGCAAAAAACCCCCAAAACAAAAACCACTCCAAAACCCCAGCCAAAGCAAAACACACAAAAAAAACTAATCGGGAAATCTCGGCATTTACCAGCCCCTTAAAAAAATGGGTAATGTGGAGCGGTCTGTGCCTGGCCGGGAGTTTCGCTGCGCGACTCCCGGGAGCCGGGACGGGCTCTGCCGGGGAAGCTCCGTAGGTATTTTTCGGTATATTTGATTCACTTGCTCAAGTGTTTGTCTGATGTACTAAATCCAGCAGTCAGGGCTTTGCACGGAAGGTTACATAATGGACCCGACAGTGTAATGAAGCAAGAAATAATAACGTCTGCTTTTTCTGCTTCCATATTTCAAATCTTTTTTATTATTATTTTTTCCCCCTCTCCTCCCCTTTCTTATATTTAGATCCGAGCAGAGAAACCCCTCTTTTCCTCTAATCCTGAACTGGATAACTTGGTAAGAGTTAACACTTCTTCCTCTCCCCACCCCCACCCTCCCTTCCCATTTATTTATTATTTTTTTTTAAAATTTCTGTGTCATCTGGAGAGGTGGTTTGGTGGTGCTAAATTGAAAATTTCTCACGTGGATTTTTTTAAAATTACAGTTATTATGATGGTGATTTTTATATTTGCTAGTAAATACGGTGTGGTAGTTGCTTGCAAGTAAAAAATCCCATAAGGATATACATAAAGGAGAGCCCCATCCAAAGGGGAGCTGGCGGGCTTGGTGGTGAGCTTGCCTGCCCAAGAGGAGCGTGGATTTATCCCCGCTGTAGCCACCCCCTCCACGCACCTTTTATCAGCTCCAAGGGAAGGGAAACGTAGAGGATTGCTATGGCTGGAGATGCACCGGTGGCAAATTCACCAAAACTGAGATCTTTTCTCTCTTTCTTTCCTTCCCTCCTTAAGGATAAATATTTTGCCTCTGCTGTAGGAGTCCTGCTCCCACTTTCGCAAAGCAAGGAGCCAGTGATGGTGTTTAGAGAGTTGGGGGTTTTTTTTAAAGAAATGTTTATGATCCGTATAATTCAGTTGCTTCGTTGCAATAGGGTTTTTTTTTTTTTTGTTAACTCTAGATCGCTTCTCGTTAAACAGCACACAAAGCCACCGCTATTAAGTTTTAGTGTTATTGCCATAAATCAAAACAACTTTTTATTTACTACTAGAGAAAAGTCAAGCTACAAAGTGCGGCCGGGGCGGCTGTGGGAAATATCTCCAAATCCAGGAATGAGATTAATACTCTTGTTGTTTGTATCTTTGCAGATGATTCAAGCCATACAAGTATTAAGGTTTCATCTGTTGGAATTAGAGAAGGTAATTTTTGTCTCTCTCTTTCTCTCTCTCCTTCCCCCCCTTTCTTCCTCCTCCGTTTCAGTACTGCTGAAGTTCAGGCTTCTGGTAAATTTGCATAAATGTCTTTCTTTCTGGTAATTAGTGTCAAGACCAATCTTGGCGTCCATTTCTCTTCGCAGTTTAATTACAATTTCAGCCTCTAAAACCGAGCTCTCGAACGCCCAGGCCTTGTGTTCATTGTAATACTTTGCTGGCTTTGTATAAATAGTTGCAGTTCTGTGGTGCCGCAGATGAGACTCGAAATGGTTAGTTCAGTCAAGCCCCTGAAATTGTGATTAAAAAATAGATATATATTGTTTTTTCTTGGTGATGATGAGGAAGGGGCTTCGGTTGCAGTTAGTTGGAATGGGGAATTTTTTTTTTTTTTTTTTTTTTTTTTTTTAGAGCCATCTGCAGGTCAGGCTCAGGGCGCGGATTGTCCTGTAACATTTTGCAGAGACAAAGCAGAGTTGATAGTTCTGTCTGTCTCTTGTTCCTGGGAATATTGTACACCTCTGAGCAGAAGAAAGAGATTGCAGCCTAACTGCAGGATTTTTTTTTGTTGGCTGTTTTAGAAATCTTAGGAGGGAGAATGCTAATTTCTAAGAAGGCGGTGTCATCCGAGCTCACATTAAATTGGAAGTGCGCTCTTGGTTTCCTGAGGATTTTTTACGTGTCATTGATAGCTGGCCTACAAGAGAATTCCCTTTCTCCTAAAAATAAACATTTTGAGAGGTTTTTAAATAGTTGAAAAGTTTCTCAGGAGCCTCAGTCACTTTATCTAACCATAACTGGCAGGTTGTTCTCGCTCTACCGAAATGTGTTCAAATCTTCCCATTAATAAAGGCGGCTCAGGTACGAGTCTATCAGAGCGACTGGGGATTTCAGGGCTCGGATACCTATAATGTATTTCAGCCCAGTGCATCGGGATTTTTTTTTTTTAAATCCTTTTTTCTGTCCTCATACCCCTTTGGAAAGGGTTTATGATGAAATAACTGGATGAAATTAAATAGTTTACCTTAAATGTCACCCATGCAGGTCACCTCTCTAATGGCCACAGCTCCGGGAGCAGATGAATTTAACACGGGTGTTGAATATGTTGTAGCCTGTGAATCATCTTGTCACTGTCAATTTTCTGGGATATCTCTATTTTGCGAGAAAAGAAAGTTATTCCTAATTCTGGATGCGTCTGGAGGTCTCAGGGGGATAATTGCAGTGTGTTTCCCCTATTTAGGACTTTTGATGTCACAGGGGTGAAGGGGGGAGACTGGTTGCACTTGTCAATTTTACTTATGTATTCCTGATTATATTTTCTTGCCTTTTTTCCCCCCCCTCCTTTCTTTTTTCTTTTTTTTCTTTTTTTTTTTTTTTTTTTTTTACCCCCCTCATAATGTTGTTTTTTCTTTTTTTTTTTTTTTTTTTTTTTTTTTTTTAACCTCCGTCATAATGTAGGTACACGAATTATGTGACAATTTCTGCCACCGGTATATTAGCTGTTTGAAAGGAAAAATGCCTATCGATTTGGTCATAGACGATAGAGAGGGCGGATCAAAATCGGACAGTGAAGACATAACAAGATCAGCAAACCTAACGGATCAGGTATGATCTCGCCAACGCCGCACACGCTAAAATTTGTATGCAGATCGCTCGCTTGGGTCACTACGCCTCCTTTTATTATTTGCATATGATTAAGTCCCTTTTAGATAAATTTCCATCGAAATGAAAATTTTTGAATAATGTGGCTATTATTGCTTCATTAAGGCTTGCTCCCGGATTCGACCTGGCGAGATGAGCTTGTAAAAGCGTCGCCTGCAAACTCGACCTGTTTCTTGTCGCTTTTAATTTTTGTCTTTATTTTATTTACCCTTTCCAATAATAGAAGTGGTGTCTGTGGATCGCTGGCTTCTTGGTAGCTTAGGGAAGGAAGGGCTGGAGTCGTTGACCAAAATAATAATAAAATCCGAGATAGGTGGTCCGGGGAAGACAGAGAGGGTTTGAAATCTAGCAAATACTGGCTATTTTCTTCCCGTCTCTACGGTTCATTAGTCCGTCTTGTCAGTTTTCCTTGGCCGAACGCTTTTAGACTTGAGTGAACATTGCTTTGTGCACGCCTGCCTGCTGCAAATGCGCCCATTTTATTTTACTTAATAGGGGGGGAGAAAAAAAAGGGAGAAAATAAAATGGGATTCAGGTTTTAAATTCTTTTCCCTTGATCTTTCAAGTTTTCATGCCCTCTCTCTAAAAAATAAATATAGTCAAAGCCAAAGCCAAGCCAGCAAAGCCTCGCGTGGCTGTGACGGTGTCCAGGTTTTGTTTGGGATGGTTCAGACCTTTAATGCCGGCTGCAGCCGGGTGGGAAATGCGAGTGAGCTGAGTGAGGAGAGCTGGCTGTCCCCTCTCCCCTCCCTCCTCCTCGTCTGTCCCTTCCGCCGGCTGGGATCCTTGCCTTTTCATGGGAGCGTTTGGGGCTAATGCAGGAGGTGCCCAGATCTAAATTAAGCTCCTGGATGATGGAAGTGACTGAGATTTGGCTTTTATTCGAGTTGCGTGAAACGGCGGGGTTTTCGCGGTCCGTTTGTTTTCTCTGAACTGAGGGGTAGCAGCGCTTTGCCTGTGAGAGAGGGGACCTCGAGCACACACAGAAAAATAAATCCGCGGTTAAAACCCCCAAGTTATTTCTTCTTTAAGATCAGCTACGCAAATAGAGTCTTAGGAGTGATCTGCTCCTGACTCTGGAGGTTTCCTTTTGTTCAAGCAAGGCGCAGCCAAGCAGGCAGGAGTTGCCTCAGCCGCTTTGCCGTTATCACCGGCACTGTCAGCTGGGAGTTATTTTATAGATCACCGACATGAAGGTGCGTTGCATCGCAGCGTGGGCAGTATCTGAAATATTTTCTCCTGTCTGCCAAAGGCTATCGGGGTAGTGTCGTGACAGGGGGAGGCAGGCTTGGAGGAAGGCATGAACTTTTAAAAAGGGGTTTGTATGCGCATAGGTGGGTCGTTTTGGTGGTTTTGTTTTTTCTTTCCGCCCAATTTTGCTGCGAAGGGGGAAAAGCTCGGTGGGGCGGGAGGAGGGCGGCACAGCAGGGCGGTACCCGGGGCCGGGGAGGATGCTCCGGGCGGCCGGCGGCCCCGTTGCAGCGCCGTAGTGCAAGGGGAACCCTCCAGCCAGGGTCTAGCTGAGGGAAGCTCGGCTCGCTGCTGTTGAATAAAAATTGTAATCCAACAAGTCTAACTAGAAAATGGGTTTCTAAAAGCTCTGGAGTGCTGGGTACATAAAGCTATTTGAGCAAATTACAAGAATCGCTCAGGGGCACGAATGAAATCAACACTTTAATTGCCTCCAAAATGAAGATTTATACCCCATTTTCCCAACGAATCATTATTTTATTAAAGTGAAAGCTAAAGAAATGAAGCTATAGTTTTGGGGTTGTCGGGGGTGTCGGTGTGTTTCTCCACACACCCCCTTGCCTCTACCCCCCCCGCCCCCGCCAGCACCTTTTAGTCGCCGGGACCGCGGACCTTGCGCTCCCGGGGCCGTCCCCTCTCCCGCTGTGCGGGCTCAGCCCCGGCACCCCCGGCTTGTGCGAGCGCGGCCCCCGCCGCTCCCCGGGGTGCTCCGGCTCCTCGCCGGGCAGCGGGACGCGCAGCTCCGGGGGTGCAGACGGGGTGGGGAGCGGGGCTTTGCTTTCCCCGCTGAAAGGAAAAGATGCAAAAATGCGCTTTCCCACCCCCCACCCCCTCCCCTCTCCCGGCCGATGAGGCGGTGGATCAAACCCACCGGGGTTGCGCGGGGGGGAGGGAGGTGTTTAGCGGGGGGATGCGCAGCCACCCGCGCCCTCCGGTAAACTCCGGTGCCAAGCCCGGCCCCGGCGCGGCCGGCAGTATCTGGGCCCTAATGGTTCAATAATAAGGTGTTGAGTGCTGGTCGCCGGGGCGGCTAATTAGGATGTGGCTGCGCAGGGCGCGTTTATGGCTGCGCGGCCCTGGGATGCGCGGGCGCGCAGGGACGGGGCGGTGGGAACGAGGGGCCTCCCTCCTGCCCACGGCTCTGCTTGGGAGAGTAGTAAAAGAGTAAGTATGTAAAAAAGCTTTTATTATGGATTTAATTACATTTTCGTATATTGTGGTAGTAAAGGTTACAGTTAACAGGGTGTTTTTTTGCTTTTAATTTATTGGTTTCTCCTTATTTATTCTTTCCTTATAGGCCCCTCAATGCCATTGCCTTTAAGTCCCCCCGGTTAATGGAAAGCAATGACACTAATGCTAGATTTTGCAAAGTAAAGCCCTATAACACTAACCATTGTTCAGTGATTTAACCAGCTCAGTGGCACTAGGTCACTAAAATAGCATCCTTCTCCCACGGGCTCGACCCCGCTGCCTGCCAGGGTGGGACCTGCGGAGTTGGTGTTTACCATCACGACTCCACAAGTACAAGGCAGGAGTTTGGGCTTTTTTTTGCTGGGGATAATTGAACTCGAGATCAACCAGACCCCGGGACTTTAAAAACCGTAGCTGAAGAATTACAGCCATCCTCAAAAGTTTCAAAATAAACCTTTTTTAATCATTAGCTTTTCAAACATTTGCATGTTTAAATTTTCAAATGTTTGTTGGAGCCCAGAAAGATTTAGAACACAGCTGTTGTGTGATGTGTCTGGGAAAACTCCCTCTGATTTTAAAAAAAAAAAAAAAAAGCCCAGAGACTGCTCTCTGTAGTCTGACAGCAAAAGTTCAGTTTCTTAGGTAATCCTAAACTGTCACCGTGGGTCTGTTTTCTTGAAGCCACCTCACCCTGGCACCCAGGTGCTCTAGTCTGAACTATAAAGTTCCCCTACAAGATCGTGTCTACAGAAAGCCTTTAGAAAGTCCTTTTAGGAAAACGTGGTACAAAGTACCCACCAAATCCAAATAAAGTACAGTAGCAGCATAAGATAGATTTTTATAGGGAAAAAGCAGTGTTTTTCTTATGGAAAATAAACTTGTTGAGCACATCCATAGAAGCATTATTTGACAAAAACTACAATTTAATAATGCACAAGCCAATTACAGATGCAGAAACTTTTAAAGGCAAATCGGCAAAGAGCCAAATTCCTATAGGGACTAGGAGGGAAATGATCAAAAAATGAACATGAAATAAGACTTCCTGCAAGAAGGTCCATAATTCAACATTATTTGACTCCACTGTCAGGGAAATTGTTGAAGGATAGTAAACTGATACTAGAGTCTCAGTCATTTTTGTTACAGTCTTAAATGTTTGCAACTGTGGTGTTTTAGATGGCCCTTCTTGGGTGATAATATATCACATATATATACGTATATAATAAAGCAACACCTCTATTTATGTTGCGGTAGATTTCATTTTAATGTGCGCTGTTGCAGAGTTGCTCTAACCAAAATGCGGATCGACAGCAGCTTTTTTTTTTTTTTTAATGGAAAAATTACTTAAAATATATTCTTTACGAAGGAAGAATCATAAACTGGAATCCAATATACAGCATAGCTAAAGGTGGTAGAGTTGTTCAGAGCATTGACCAGTTACGACTAGGCTTAACTTTCCCAAATTCTCAAATATATCAGGTGTGCCTTGTAGCCAGTACAAAATAATGCCTTGGGGAAAAAAATTACTGAGAAAGTACTTCTTCACAGGCACTTTCAAGCCATGTGTAGTTTTAAGGAGGGGAATAAGAATATTGCTGCCTTCAGGATATGTACTCCTGTATTGGAGGAACAGGCATCAAAATAATAGATGCAGTGCAGAGGGTGCAAGGTAGAATTCATTTCTGCGTAATAAAAGAGTTGCAGTGAAGTAGGACTCTGAGGAGGGCTAATAAAATAATTTTCAAAAGACTCAAAATTTAATTTTCTTCCTCTGACTTTATGTCACCTTGAGCCAGTGAATCCTTTTTTTGTTAGTTTGGTTTTAGTAACTTTTATTTTTTTTTTTTTTCTGTGATATTTAGAATGTGTTACTGTGCTCCAGTTTAAGAGACTATTTATTGTAAAGATAAAACATGTTAATTTCTGTTCTGGACATGTTATGATCCGATACACTGTGGCTGAAATTGTATTAGCAAAATGAACTTTTCTTTGCTCTCCATTTCTTTAATCGAGTAATACATTGTTAAATAGATATAAAATTGATTATATTTCCTTTAATTTTTTATTTCAATTCAAGATCTTTGTGTTTGTTTTTTTTTATTTTTTTTTAATCATTGAGGAACCCAAAAGCAGCTATCCTTACACCTGGGTGTAAGATTTGCTGCCTTCCTTAAGTTGCGTGCTCATGCCTAACTTCCATGTAAAGTTTTCCAAACTGAAGTTACATTTTGTTGCAAAGAATAGTTTAATTGTCAGTATTTTTGCAATTCTTTTCAGCATCAAACCTGACAGGCCTGAGTTTAAATCCCAGGTAACCTCAGAATTTGCGAATGTATTCCAAGGTGTTCCTGAAAGCTGGAGCTTGCCATGTCTTTGTGTTAGGGACCACAGATTGTTATTTTGGGGCAACTTGGAGGTTTGCAAGTTGTGAAAAAATGAGTTGTACCTTAAGTTTAACCTTTATGGCTGAGGGTTTGAGTCTTCCCTGGCTGCTCGTCTGCAGG